AAACAACAATCACGCTTCGGACTTTGAGGTTATGGGTGCGTTATAAGGGTGGCGGCCTAACCCCGAGCATGGATCATTGGTTTTATTATTCACGTCCAGCTAACTCTCCCCCCCCCCAAAAAAAAACAATCACGCTTCGGACTTTGAGGTTATGGGTGCGTTATAAGGGTGACGGCCTAACCCCGACCATGGATCATTAGTTTTATTATTCACGTCCAGCTAACTCTCCTCCCTCCCAAAAAAAAATCACGCTTTGGACTTTGAGGTTATGGGTGCGTTATAAGGGTGACGGCCTAACCCCGACCATGGATCATTAGTTTTATTATTCACGTCCAGCTAACTCTCCTCCCTCCCAAAAAACAATCACGCTTCGGACTTTGAGGTTATGGGTGCGTTATAAGGGTGACGGCCTAACCCCGACCATGGATCATTAGTTTTATTATTCACGTCCAGCTAACTCTCCTCCCTCCCAAAAAAAAATCACGCTTCGGACTTTGAGGTTATGGGTGGGTTATAAAGAAGGTGGACGTTGAATTTTAAATTATATTTTTCCTTGAGTGTTAATTGCAAATATTTACCAAAAAATGATATAGACTAATTTTCTGAAACTTGTTGACAATCTGTATTTTCCATTTTAATGTGAGATCTCATCATTGGAAGACTTCAGTGAAAAAAAAAAAAAAATAGACACACCCACACTACTCTCTGTTTCGATCTTCAGGGGACTTAGTACGTTATATTAAAGCGATTTTGAATATGCAAATCGGCAAGATACAAATTTGTGGTGGGACGGAATATATCGCACCTACATTTAGACATTGTTTAGCATTTTGTAGGATGTGTAATTTCACCTAAGATCAATCGCTTTTGGGAAGGCTATGTAACAGTTCTTTCTAATAAAAAATATTCTTACACTGAGATCGTAAAGATGTGCTGAGATCAGGGATTTAGAATTTCCAAGACAGGGATATCATTTGTATTTAATGATATTCGAAACAAAGGAATATGGATCAACTTGAGAAATCAGGACTATCTAAACAGAGACCTGCAATAAGTCGTACCACAGGCATGGCAAATAAATCGTGGAGTTTTGTAGCAGGTGAGAATCCACGAACACAAAAGTCAGTGGCAAAAGCCGTCCATCTATACGCAACGTAATCAAGAAAGATCTTCATTTGTAAACTTTATACAAGTTACTTCCACGACATCTACGTTCAACCATCACATATTTGAAGTAGCCAGAGAATGAAACAGGTATTCATACTATCCCATACAAAGATATACTGGTTAAGTCACCAGTCCAGAGCCTATGGATTTCTATGCAATTAGTCCTTCTAAATTAGATGGATTATGGAAAACATGCAGGAAGGAGAGGGTTTCTTTGAATATTACAGCCGTGCAGTGGATACCTTTGCAATAGAAACTACGCCACAGGGCTATTGTTAAGATGCACGACAGTAAGATAGATCACGACCGAACATAGCGACATGGACTATAACGACGTGGCTGAAGCTAAAAAATCGTTTTAAAATGTACTCAACCTTTATATAAGTTTTGTCATTTTAAATGTTAATTGAAATGTGATATTCATTCTTCGCCCTGGAAAACTATAATGGGCCAGTAAAAAGTAAGGTTCTTATGCTGTGGTATATATATCATACTTTGATATATTTATATCACCAACTTTGATGTTGTTCCCCTAAAAAATATATATACCAGTTTATGGAAATTTGTGCAATGAAAATTCATACTTAAATACTTGGATTAATTGAAAACTAAATAAATTAATGGAGAAATACTAATATGCAGAAAATACGTTTATTAAACTACTCTCTAAGCTGAGCCCTATAAGACATATCTTCAAATTAATGACTCAAGTTCTTGTATGTATATGAACATACAGGAGTATTATGTCTAGCTTGATTTGTTTTTTGTATCGTCGGGAAAAAAGAATACACGGTTTTCTGACATTCATTTTTGTAAAGTTATCAGAAAAAATTACTTTTAAATGTTTGATAAAAAAATCCCTTATAAACTGTGTTTTTTCAGATTACTTAAGTGACTTGAAATTATAAAAATCTGTATCTAAGGTTTGTAATAAAAGTATGCCGGTTTGCTACAATTTTGAAAGTGTGTTTTCTTATAGCAAAGCCACATTGGGCTATCTGCTGTGTCCACCGTGGGTAATTTAATCGAACGCCTGATTTTAGCGTTATAAGTCTCTAGACTTACCGCTGTTCCAGCGAAGTTTGAAAGCATTCCCTGTGTTGTCATTATAATATTTAAGTTTTGCCAAGTTTAGGCTTAATTTAATCATAATAAATTCCATTTAAAGACCAAACTATGAAAACAAATTCTGAACAAGATTTAGCTTCTATGTGAAAATGAAATTAAAAATAAACAAACAAACGTGAAACAAACTAGTTTCTTCTATAAATTATTCAAGCAGGTAAACAAAAACAAATCATCAGATATTAAATTTATTTAGTTCACTCGTCAGATGTCGCGACCGTAGCAACAACAACTTCACACAAAGCAACGCTATAACGGTACTGTACTGTATAGCACTATGCTTATTAATATTTTGCTAATTACATAGTATTACAATAATTCAACATCAGTTTCAAATATATTCATTGTGATTTGAGAGATTGAGGCAAACAGAAAAAATGTGAAGCAACACGACGTCAAATGAAAAAGAATGTAATTCGTTAGCTTAGCGGTTTTCATCAATGTTATCTTTTTATTATCTGTGGACTTTGTTACTCTGCCTATTAGGCCTTTGTTTTGTCTAAGCTATTCTGTAATTCCTTCAGGTTGAAGCTTTATTTCGAAAGTAATAGGAGAAATGGAACTCACATTTATGTACTTAGACGCTAAGATTAGGCTTAGCAAGAGAAGTCTTGCTTACATGTTAATTATATTTTATTTTCTTCATTTAGTAAAAGGTAAGTGTTACAACAAAGTTAATTATTTTCTATTTTATAGAATAAAATTATTATTAGTATATAAATTACGTGATGTTTTTTTTTTTTAAATAACAAAGTCGAGTGAAGGGAGTATATTAAGAAACGAGTTGTCACTAGGCGGTAAAGTGAAATTAATTCGAAACGAATGCCATAAAACTTATGACTTATCCAGAACCTTTTAGGCCCTATGCTCTATTTTATGATCAGTCGGCGATACAAAGAATGATATTTTCAAAACGTCTTTCTTTGAGAAGGTGTAACATTGCTTTCATTATTCTGTTATTAAATTGTTTTCCATAATGAATCCTAGGCAGGCACCATACGATTGGAAGTTAGCTAATGTTATTCCTCTTTTCAAGGGAGCTGATAAAAATTGTTGGAAAAATTTTTGAAAGTCAGATGATACAAATGGCGTCTCGACCACTACAATGTCTGTTAATGTTATATCCTACCTGGCCTGATGAACCTTGATATTGGTCGAAAGGAGGTGATAAACATTGTATTGGTAATATAGATTTTGTAGTCGTATTTTAGTGGTGTGAAAAGTTTTTTTTTAAAAAACCTGATTAAAGGTGCTTTGCTAAATCATTTGATATTTGTTTCATAGACAGTATAGTTTTACTTGGAGAAAAATCTTGCCTTACTTATCGTTAGACATTATTTAAAGAGGTTACAGCTTATGTAGATGAAGGTACAGACATGGATATGGTGTATTTAGATTTTCAGAAAGCATTTGACAAGGTTCCAAATAAAATGCTTGTCAAAATTATCTCTGGATGGGTTAGGTTGGCTCATTGAATAGAAAACTGGCTGGATGGAAGAAAGCAGAGGGTTGTTATAATTACAGTTCAATCAAACTGGATTAATGTCACCAGTGGGCTATCTCAGTGGGTTCATTGTTAAGACCTTTGTTCCTGTTGATTAACGTCAGAGACATAGATGAGAGAATGGTCAATAAATTATTTAAATATGCTAATGATATTAAGGTTTGGGAGAGTTGCTGGCTGTGAGGAGGATACTACTACTTTGGAAAGAGATTTGGGTTATTTGGTGAGTTGATCGAGTAAATGACAGGTGACTTTTAATTACAATACATTCAAGGTAATGCACATGGGACATTATAATTTTGTTGGAAATATCTTAACAGTGTTATGAAATTGTATTAGTGTTCTAGTTGATCAGTTTCTTAAGCCATCCAAGTAACGTCCTGTTGGTAGTAGCAAGGCAAATAGGGTTTTAGATTGTATCTACAGAAACACCGAATACAAGTCTAAAGAGATTACAATTTCATTTTAAAGGTCATTGGTTAGGATACATATGGAGTATTATGTTCAATCTTGGGCTCCTTAGTTTAAGAAGGCTATTGAATTGTTGGAAAGGTTCAGAGGATACCAGGAATGGAAAGGTTGTCATACGAGGATAGGTTAATACTACTGAAATTGTTTTCTTTAGGAAAAAGAAGAGTTAGAGGGGATCTAATTGAGGTGTTTAAGATTGTTAATGGAATTGATTGTGTTGCTGCATAATCTTTTTCCTTACTTAATGGTGAGAATAGTAGGACTAGGGGACACAAATATAAATTTTGGCAGAGTTGGAGTCATCCTCAGCTAAGGCAGCTTTATTTTTCTAACAGCTATACTTGAATTCGAGGAGCCTTTTTAACCTGATTTTTAAGCCCATGTATATCTGTCGTTCGGGTTGAAAATATATGATCGATCTAGAATAACACGAGGGCTTCTTATGTTGTGTTTATTGATTTCCAGTTACGTTAGAAGCGTCTACTGGATTTTTTTCATACAGTAAAAACATGTACAAAAAACCCAAACACTTTTATGTCACGTGTAAGGCATAAAAATTCACTTAATTTTTGGGTTTAATAAACTAATATATATATAGTATTACATCATCCATGGCCGTCTAACTTTGTTTAAGAGTAGGGGTAAGGGTAGGGAAGATTTGGCGAGCCGAGAAGATGCATATTTTTTGCCCCTTCTCATCCCTGATCTATGCCATCATTTGTAACAAAATTGGTATTTCTGTTTCTCGGCTTGGAGCTCATGAGCACCGATAACATAACTTACTACTACGTAAATTTTTTTATCGTTGTTTAGAGAGAGGTTATCTTTAACACAGTTTGCACTTGGTATCTCATGAGCTCGTGCAATATATCAAATCTAAACAGACGCAGGTGAAAATGTAAGATTGTGAACGTGTATTCTTGTTTAATTAGACATTATCTTATGAAGATCGTTATAACCAGGAATTGTAATTATGGATTTATAACGCTAAAATACGGGGTTTGATTCCCCAAGGTTGACAGAGACTAGGAAGCTCATTTTACAACAACCATCTCGTATAACAGCACCTATCAAAGTAGTTATTGCAATTCAGTGGTCCAGTAGAAAATCTACACCCCCTCAAAAAAAAAGAAGAGTAAAATGTTAAAATAAATTGTGTTACAATAACAAGAGGGAGTCGGACACATGTTTTAAAGTCTCTGAAGATGGAGGGGGGGGGCACAATCATGACTATCCACTCTTCTTTATGTTCGGTTTTTGTCATATTTTTTTACGACTACATAACTAGTTGAGCCCAACCTTTAACATCCTTTCAAATACTTGCATTATTTTTTCTGTGCTTTCTTCTCGAATTCGTTTCATCAATTACGCCTTTAATAATATTTTCTACTAGACTCTCTCAGTTCCCAAATATAATTTTCCACAGTGAAAGTCAGTCCATGTTTTTACCCATTTCAAAATCTCTTCGTTTGGTTTTATCCTCATTCATCTAATTTTCAACAGTAGTTAGAGCGAAAGTCAACCCATGTTTTTACCCTTCTCAGAATATCCTCGTTTGGTTTTATCCTCATTCATCTAATTTTCAACAGTAGTTAGAGCGAAAGTCAGCCCTTTTATTTTACCCTTCTCAGAATCTCTTCGTTTGGTTTTATCCTCATTCATCTAATTTTCCACGGTAGCTAGACCGAAAGTCAGCCCATGTTTTTACCCTTCTCAGAATCTCCTGGTTTGGTTTTATCCTCATTCATCTAATTCTCAACAATTTTTGTTAACTCCTCATTTTGAAAGCATTTATTTTTGTTCTACATCCTTTGTCTGTTCTCTACATTAATATATACAACAAGGAAGAAATGTTTTACACGAAATGCTGTAATTTCTCAGTCACAACAGAAATCTATCCTTCATTTCTACCACCATGCTTAAGCCCTTGTTAACAAACTAACCAAATAAACAACAGCAACAAAACAGAAACAGAAATAGTAGGTAGTAAGAAAAGCTGTTAAGCACACGATGTGAGCTGTTTCAGAACTCTCAGACGTTTCTGGTTAATAGTAACAAAATAAGAAGTGTAGTTTACAAATATTTCATTCTCAGTATGTTTACACTTTTGGTACAATGTTGAGATGAAAGTATCAAATACTGAACAGAAGCCATACTAATCCTTCGCATCTTTACTCTTTGTACTAACGGACTGGGTTCATCTTTTGTTGTTTTGTAGTTAAGCGCAAAGCTACACGAAGGGCTATCTGTGCTCTGTCCACCACGGGTATCGAAACCCACATACCGCTCTGCCACTGTGTGTGTGTGTGTGTGTGGGGGGGGGGGGTTAACTTTTGCACGGTTACAAGCGAGACCCATGTTTGCAGACTTTGTATTATAAATTCAGTGTTCTCTTACTGGTGTTATAACATATTGTATCGATTGGCGGGTCTTTGTTTTTGATTATCTGGTAAAAATAATGTGACGATAATGAATTAATTTATTTCATCAATAACGTTTGCTAAAGACTACGTTTACTGGTAAAATGCCTCCGGTGGCTTAGTGCTAATTCTTTGGAATAACGCAAAAATTGGATTTCGATACCTTCGGTTGGCATAGCACAAATATCCCATTTTTGTGCTTAATAGTACTTAACAACAAAGACATTCTGGTAAACCTATATTCACAAACAACGTTTTAACAGTTTGTTTGTTTGTTACGGATTTCGTGCAAAGCTACACGAGGGCTATCTGCGCTAGCCGTCCCTAATTTAGCAGTGTAAGACTAGAGGGAAGACAGCTAGTCATCACCACCCACCGCGAACTCTTGAGCTACTCTTTTACCAACGAATGGTGGGATTATAACGCCCTCACGGCTGAAAGAGCGAGCATGTTTGGTGTGACGGGGATTCGAACCCGCGATCCGCAGATTGTGAGTCGAGCTCCCTAACCACCTGGCCATGCCGGGCCTGTTTTAACAGAAATTACGAAACTAATGTAGTCTAATGGATCAATGACAAACACACTTACTGACTAACTGATACTGAACTGATGTCTAACCCACTTAGTCTGGTATATTTATATTGTACTAGTTTTCTGCGTACTACAGAAATTTTCGAGAATCTACAGAGACTTCAACTTTTATGAAATTTCTAATCATGCAAAAAAGAAACAAACACCCTTTATCGAACAAAAACAATGAAAAAATATAAATTACATAACTGCTTTTTTTTGCACAATGAAAGTAAGAATCAGTATCATAGTTGTGATTTCCTGTTTTCCAGAAATAAGTAAATACACACGTGTAAAATGCTTTGACAAAACACAATTTACATGTTTCGTGAACCAGAAATCTTATAGATATTACATCACATGCTTAGATAAACCAATCAGTCCTTATTACTTATTTCCAGAGGTGAACGGTGGTGTTTATTATTGTGACGAACAGATTCGCAGCCATGACGCAGAATTACAAAGTCCTAACTTTCCCTGGAGTTATCTCTCTAATCTACGATGTCGATATACAGTTTATAGAGCAAGTCCGGAAGTTTGCAAGGTATGAATGTTATAAAGTTCATTACTATAACAACGATGTATTAAGGTTACGTGCAATTACTGTTGTAAGGTTCATTACTATAACAACGATGTATTAAGGTTACATGCAATTACTGTTGTAAGGTTCATTACTATAACAACGATGTATTAAGGTTACATCCAATTACTGTTGTTAGGTTCATTATTATAACAACAATATATTAAGGTTACATCCAATTACTGTTGTAAGATTCATTATTATAACAAACCAATATATTAAGGTTACATCCAATTACTGTTGTAAGATTCATTATTATAACAACATAATATATTAAGGTTACATCCAATTACTGTTGTAAGGTTCATTACTATAACAACATAATATATTAAGGTTACATCCAA